GGCTGAGAAATATTTCTCTTTTCAGAGTCATGTTGCACGAGTTTGATCAATACCTGTAACTCAGGAACGTGACCGAACTACTTGTGGGGGATCTTCTAGAGACCTGTCACATAAAGCCTCCGGATTTTGGTTCGCTGTATTATTCACCGGTGCGTTGATTATCGGTCCGCTGCTCAGCGTTGGCCCTCATTCTCATGCACCCAATGAGACAAGCGGAATGTGGGCGAGACAACACCTTGCTGATTGGGGGTTACCCAGCCCGGGCGGGTGGTAGCTGTCCAGTGAAGACTTCTACCACCGTCGAGATATCTCCCCGGTACTACGCTCCTACGTCCATCTAGTGGGATTTTTTGACCGGCAAACTGTACCTCCCTGTATTTATTTGGTCATTTGCCCAAACGACTGACCTTGTGAAACTGAGCTTTGATTGGCCTCTATCCATTGACCTTTCAGGCGTAATTTTATCTGCAGCTCTTGTAACGCTTCTATCACCCATCTAACGTGATTCATCTTGGGACATCTGTCGTTGATTGAATCAGGTCCAAGCATGTTGTGAGCACGTTTTTGTCGAGCAGAGGTGAATCTCAGGGTGAAATTTGTGTAATAACCGCTGCATTTCCCCCTGGGTCATGTGTACACTGATGAAGCCTGGTCTACGTTAGCTAGATAGATCATGATCATCACGCACCATGCTCGTTCTTCCAGTTAGATCAGAACTTCATACTGTGTACTCGTCACTACGTTCTCAACGGAGGAGTCTGCTGAACGCGTAAAAGTGATATCTCACTCAGATTGGGGCTTGCAATACAAAGCAGCTCCCACCATGGGATAGTTTGCTTTCTCTTCACTCAGTCCGATCAAATTTGTTTTTGTTTTTCTGCCACCAAAGCCGCCCAGCAGAACAGTGTTTGGGCACATTTCGTTCGACTGTTTCATATTTGAAAAGTACTATTATTTTTTGACTCTTATCTGTTGCATTTTGTTCCCTTTTCTCTCCTTTGATTCTGTTGCGCATGTTTGAATGATCATTATCGAAGATCCAATGTAAATCGATGTATCTAGCACAATTGTGATCGCTCCCCCTTCCGCTGTATTATTTCACAGACCGATTGTGCTAAGCGCATTGCGTAATTTGGCCATTGTCTATCAACGACAAGGTATGCAACCATTAGCCAGTCTGGTGAAACACTGGATCCATGTGATGACAAATCCACAACCCGCTCTGTCTTCCACCACCACCGCGAACACGGTTACCGGTATTGCAACGAATTCAAACTCCACCGCTCTTCCCGCCCAGTCAACTAGCTCACCACGCTCGGATCTTATTCGAGACATGACCGCCTCCTTCCATACCTCGTCCAGTCCAATTGTGGTAAGTATGATCTGGTTTTGTCAATGTTTCCATCCAACCCCTTTCATCCTTCTTCTTACTTTCTTCCGCGTTTCTCTGTCGCCGGTTTCTCACTGAGCGACACTCCTGAACATTGTCAATTACATGAGCATGTCAAAGTGTGTTAAAGTAAAAATTTTCTTTTTAGTTATTGGCTCACCATTTCTCTTCCTTCTCCTCCTCTCCTGATCAAAAATTGTGGTGGTGGCGTAGTGGTTTAGTCGCTGTCACCGGCGTGCTTTGGACCTTATGGTCCGAGGTTCGAGCCCCGCCACCGCCACCCGACTTTGGTGGTAGGCAGCTCTGCTGTCGTCCGGTTCAATACCACACTTAACCTATCGGGGCATTATGTTGTTCGCCACTCCAAGTTCCGGGGCATAGGTTGCCGATTTCAACCACTGAACGGCAGGNCCTCGCGACTCTATGGGGTTACCCTGTCTGCTGTTCATCACACCTAGGTGTGTAATAAAAATAAATTAAAAAATCTGATCTGAAACTTTCATCACATTTGTTCCTACCAACACTTAGTGTTCCGAGCCTCATTCACGAGATTGAATATGCTATTGCCGCATACCAGGCGCAACATATATCTGATAACAATATCCATATCTGTTGTTGTCCAACGGCAATAAAATGCACGATTTCTTGAGTTCGACGACCGTTGCTGGAGCATGATTTGTAAAATATCAAAGCCTAGGTAACAAAAACCAATCGAATTTATTGATAACAATGACTTACAGGTATGATACATAGAGTGTACCTTCATTTTTTCAATGTTCCACCGGCCCCTATTTTATTTTTGCATGGAATCCTCCAAGTTAACTGTCAAACAGCATTTGCCAGTTTCTTTTAATACATGCCGCAACCTGGACACTGTCGGGGTAGGCAACTTATCCGTGTTTCTAACACAGGAAAAAGTTTGCAATTACATTCAAATCCTTACTGCCGGACTGTAGTTGAATGAATTCGGCATTTGACTGGACCTATCCAGAAACTGCATAAATGTGATAACACAATATTTGATGACGTCCAAACGTTTTCTATCACCAACCTTGAGCGAAATGTGATTATCTGGGGAAAATATGTCTTCTATTAGAACATCTTTGGTAATTAATTGACTTATTAACTGTGCACAGAATAAATAAAGATAAGCTATCTATAAAGCGTGTGTTGACCAGAATAAGCACCTCAGTGAAACAGCAATCAGTTGTTAGAAAGAATGAACGTCCATAAAATATTTTTCATTCTGAGCTGTAGCTTTCGAACTACCACAAATTTCATCATCGTACTCAAGGTCGCGCAAACGCAAAGAAAATTACAGTGGAGAGTAAAGTTTGGAATAAATGCTCTGTTCACGCAGAGCTATCAGTGCACATGTATGATATTGACAACTGAAATGTATTCACAAACTAAGAGCTATATTGCACGAGCTCGATCAATACCGGTGTTGTGTGGTACTACTCACATTTATGAGTAATACGCCAAAGGACGCAGTCAAAACTTAGCAAGCCCCGTTGGAGCGAATTGTTGTGTTCAGTATGTTAATTACAAGAATGCGCATTTACTGTTATATTAACTATTCTGTGTGCGTGTGGGAATTCTGAGGGCTCGTTCCCAATGAGACATTTTGTTGTACGAATGCCCATTTTCCTGATACCCTGACTGTTATTCATAATAATTAATTATCCGGCACAGTCTTGTGTAGTACCTGCGTTATGTCACAAGAGATCTGAGCAAAGTTTTCCCCCTAACACTCCGGAGAGGTAGTTCATTTCAATTCCTTGACTGCGTAAAACTGTGGTTGTTCGCTGCNCCCCCCCCCCCCTCGGGTTGTACATGGCATTCTGAAACTAACGGTAGGTGGAAGTGTTGGATTGTGTTGATGTGTGAGACATCGGAGGTTTAAGTATATTCCTGAATATCCAGCTTGATTTTTCCACGCGGTGTGAACGCAGCTGACACTATTCATGAACTATCTTCGAACACTCTAGAACTGCAGTGTTTCCGTTGTTTGTACACACCATCATTATAGTGATTGGTGGTGATACAGTGGGCTAGTCGCTTTCACCGGCTTACTTTGAACCATATGGTTCAAGGTTCGAACCCCCACACTGCCACCCATTTTTGGGGGTAGCAGATTTGCTGTTTCCGGGTTCAAAACCAAGCCTAATCTATCGGGGCCTCGGTACTCTTCAGTCCCGGGGGCTTCAATTTCCGGTTTGAATCGCAATGCAGTAGGTATTCGTGACTATGAGGTTCACCCCATCTACTGTTCATCACGGAAGGAGTGCACCAAAAAAATAGTGTCCAGAGCCGTCACGGCTATTCACAATGAACTTCTCAGTGCGCAAGATCTCACCAGTCAGCCTATACTTTTTGCCTATTCACAACTCTCATGTCTGTTTGTTGTCTATTATTATCCGATTCCGGTTTTGATGTTCCGACTCATCGTTTATTATGTATTCTATAGTTTAGTTCGCATTCACTTTTGAATTATTCATTCCAATTGTTCGGCATAAGCAGCATCAAACCAACTGGAAAATTTGTCAATGATGACTTGCGTCACACACACACATCATGTTCTTCGTTATCTTTCGAAACGCAGGCAAGATTATTGATCAAATGGCCAAGATTTTATTTTTAAAAACAACTGTAAATCAATTCCAACACCAATGGAAGCATCAACCCTAACCCGGACGGCGTGCAGCGTCGTTTGTGCAGATTTGCTCAGCCATGCAAACTACATAAACAGTTTTTTTTCTGGCATTTTTCCCTCTTAGGTAGCGAGGGAAAAGTGTGTGTGTGGGGGGGGGGGTAATGGGCCGAACACGTAAAGGGTTATTCACTCCCCGGTTGATGACTATGTGCTGAAAAATTCATGGTACAGTAATCTTTATAGAAATGGCAAGCGTTCCATGATTTGCTTGGCGGCCGAATACTGCCAGGCTTCCCAGGCCAAAGCAGGTGGATTTTCTCGAGGAATCCACAACCGGAGCCCTGGGCTAGCCAAAGCCTGACCCGCAAGGCAGCGAGCGGGGCGATGTGTGAAAACCGCAATCAGTTAGGACCCGGGGGGCCGTTCATCGGATCATACGCCGTTCAGACGCGGTCAAACGTCGAAAATACCCAATACACCTCGATACCCGATTAAGCTGGTGGCCATTGTCACAGCCAGGAAGGTGTGGGTGTGGTTCGTACACCTCTTTCTCGGTTGGTTTGGAATCAGGGGTTTTTGCCAACTCCCCTAGGTGAACTGTCAGTGGTCCACCAACCCGGTTATAGCCCCGGATGTCGGCTCTTCGTCTTCTCGCTTTGGTTGAAAACATCTCCGCCCCACGAGAATGCAATGAGTAGGGCTTTCCTCATCAGAGGCTATCTGAGACGCTTGACCGTACTGGAGCATTTAGCGGGGTCCAGGGGACGAATACCCAGTCATAACGCTAAACACCCATCTCCGATCATACTGAGGCTTCCGGACAGCTGCCTGTCAGAGAGACGGTGATTCTGTTCAAATGTTCATTCTCTTCACGCCCTCCTAGTTCGCTATTTTGTCAGTTTTCAGGAATGAGCCCATTCTGCGTTGCTAGGGTAGTACGGTGCTGTAGGTCTCTTGAGAAAGCACGGAACACATGCGCATCCGGCTTGACAGCTTTCTCTCGACCTCCCCTCCTTGGTCCCTCTTCAGGGAACGTTCTCTTTGATAAAGCTGTTTTCCGTTCACATTAATTCGCAACCGATTGTCCTGTTCAGATAACGTTCATGTGAAAAACATAAAAGTGATAAGTTTTGAATCCAGTTCCAGATGAGAATTTAATAGTGAACGATGGATTCAATATGCTATGACTTTGTACACGGAGTCAGACAGCGATGGTTATCCAACAGACGAATGGACGACTGCTGAAAGTGAATGGTTTATTTGGACCGCACTTATTCCTCAATCCCATTACGTCACGTATTCCGAGCAGATGGTAGTGGAGGGGGGGTGTAAATCAACGAACTGTGAACCCAGTGGGTTCGAATGGAGTCCTATTGCCCGGACAATAGAGCATCCGTTTAAAACGGTGTGACCACGGTCCAACCGTGTTTCAGCACGAGTTAAGGAGTAACGCATAGTATCTCTCCTTTGAATGGTGCGCAGAAGCCTGTGATAGAACAACCGCCTGTCTGTAATAGAAAGCCAACCGTTATATTGTTATACCATGGGAACAAGCTTTTTTGCTGAAAACGCACTAAAGATGCACGGCAGCGGATGCGCGTTGAGGCATTGTTCCATTGCCCTTAGGGATGGCTTATTTGTCGTGGATTGTATCCCGTCTTCTAAATGAACCGCAAAACAAGTGTGTAAAAACCAATCGCAAACGTGTATAGTGGTCTTCCACAGGTCCCATGGGTGGAACAAACACAGAATGAACCATAGTTCACCTTTCGGCTCACGTTCCGAAAAGAGCTACTGTATTGTAAACGAGTGGAAAAGATCCTCTTTTTCCTCAGGTATTCCCGTTACATAGCAAATTCGTGCTTATAACCGCAAGCTTCCGTAGTTTGTCGTGCGATTTAATGGCTGTTGACGCGGATTGAGCCTGCTTCTTTTTCAGTACGTAGATGGTGCATAAACTCTGGGGTCAGGGGTGGCTTCTTGGCCTCGTTGTTCTATGAATACACATCTAATACCCATGCTACTACGGATTCGTCTATTCCGCTCCTAACCACCGTGGATCAATGGTCAAAAGTTTTCGAAGGACGCGCGGTTAGGCTTCCCTTTTCACCGAAATCTTCCACGTCATTCAATCTCACTCTTCTCACATTAGGTGATCTTGTCAGGGGGAACTCAGCTTAAGCGTCTTCTGCTATGTCACCGTGGTTATCTTACCGACCAATGTGCTGATATCTGGTAGCAGCCTGTTTTTCTCGTTACCGACTTTAGTGTCAATTCTCTCGTTGCCCCAGTAGCTGCAAACGGACACACACACGCAGCTGTTAAACACACTTTGTTAGGATTCACGAAAGCCCATATAATTTGTTTAACCATTAATATTGTATCGCTGAATATCGCGGTCGATTGACAGAGGAAAATCGCACTGGAATCGAACAAAAGTCTGGAACCCGACCGATATAGTGATATGTAGCTCCGGTCCCGAGTCAGTTGATCACGAGGTCGCCAACCAGGAGGCATAATGTGGCATTTCCCGTGATCTCTCAGTTTGATTTTGTTAGTCTCCAACTATCGTACGAAAGTCGATGGAGACACTGTCTGTGCGCTGATCTAGGGTTCAGACAATCTGGGATTTCAACGAGTAGTTACATGAACCTCGAGATATGGTGCACATCTATGCATAATTGATTAATCTATATTGCCTTACAATGGTCAACCTAGACACACACACCGAGAAAATGATCTACTCCAATGACCACGATTACATGTGCGTGTGTTGAAATGCGTTGAGCTTGATCCAATTACCAGAATAGATTGTCGAAAATGCCGAGTTGTCTTACTTTTCTTACTTCCCGATAATTTTTATCACAAATCTTTAAAAAATTAAAATAACGAAACATTTTGTGGATAGTCGTTGTGATGTTGCGCTCTCTCGTCCCCATCCCACCCCCCCCACCCCCGTTCCTTCTTGTATTCACAGCAATTCTGCTCGTTCTCTTTCCTGCTTTTGTGTTCTTTTATTGCTCTACTACTTACCCGTTTTCCCTTTGAATAATTACCCCACAATTTTCCAGTTCAATGGTTGTTGTTTTCCGGCTCGAGCCTCACGTAACCCGTTACCCGGTTACCTGGCCATTTTCCTGTTTCTGACCAACGCTGAAAATCACGAGCTTCCCAGTTCTATTCGAATTGTCATCTGTAACGTTCACATTTGCTGGACTTGTCGAACTGGTCCACATTGCTAGTGGGTCTCGCGGTATTGTTTGCTCTGCATAATAGGCACCGTGTTCACAGCACGCCATCAGAGGCCGGGGATTTTTTTTCTCGCAACACACCAATCAGGTCATCGTAACTCTGTTCTCGATCTCAGTCACTGTGTATTATAGTGTAGTGTGTGTGTGTGTTTGTACGCTAAAAATGCTATATCTTCTTGTTACTAGCCTCACGAATGTTTTGTGTGTGGTGCGATATACTTCAACTGTTGCGTAATGGTGGATATATGGTAGACTTGGTGAACTTGGTGTTCCTTATTTTTATTGTTGCACCTCTAGCTATTACACACACAAGCACATCTGACCTCTTCTTACCTGCGCCGTATAGGTGTGCAAATAGATCTGAGCATATGAAATGATGAAAACGTAATCCCTTGAATTCCTCATTTTACCATGTTTGTTACCATAACTATCAGATTATGATGTTTGATTCTACAAAAGTCTTGTGTATTTTTCTGGACAACTAGCTATCACACCGTGCCCTGTTGCTCCCGTGCTTACTGTCACGGCCTCCCATCGCCTGACTCTCTTCTATCGAAATTCTCCGGTCGATGTGAACAAGATTTTGTGCACGGTGTTCGGCTGACCATTGCGTCGAATCACATCGTCTGCACCGGCCAGACATGAAACCCGTCGAGCTTCAACTTTTCTCTGTGGTCACACCTCGATCATCCAATCATGTACGGTATACAGTACTCTATATGGCATTTCGTACACTGGTAATCGCGTCCACTCTACCTCACAGGTGTTTCCGCTGACCAGCCATCTCTCGCCTGACCGAAAAAGAGTTAGAAACAGGGAGAGAGAGAATGTCTGACAATGTCTCATTGATGAATACCGTAATAGCAGCTACAGAAATGCCAACCTCTGTCTTATCTCAATTAAGAACAGTGCAGGGAAGGATAATCATCTTAGACGACGTCAAACGGAAATCGGGCTGCGCACTCGTTGTCCGCGAAATGTGGAAATAAGTGGATCCTGATCCCTGATAGCACAGTGACGAGAATTTGTTTATCCGTTAGTGATGATTCATCAATCCTCAACAGCGCCGTTAATTGTCTTGCCAGTGTCTCGAACCTAACCAATCCTTACTGCACATTGCTGTATCGATTCATCGATATACGATGATCAGTTTACTTCGAGCCTGTATTTTCTTGTTTCGGTATATTCTGCCGGTTTCGTGTGAAGTAAAAGAACTGCCACAATATATGAGTAGAAGCGTATTATCATGTCACCGTATAAGAAAGTGTCTCATGGCCGGTACCTGATTGACGATAGTTCGGGGTCATGACCGTGTCCCTGGGTTTTCACCCCGGAAAACCGGAGCGTCCCACAATTTTTAGTTTTGTGGTTGAATGGTTTCAAATCTCGAGCCGGGATTATTCAAAGTCCACTTCATTATCGCTTCCAACTTTTGCCAGTTTCTGCAATCATTATAGCATGACGGGGTTGTTTTTGACCCTACACGCGTCGCGCTTTAGTGTGTTGCACTTTGTGTGAGGTGAAGTTTATTCGACAAATTTCGCCGCGGGTGATTTGATGTTATTGTTCTATCCCGACGATTCAATATGGACAGTTATGGTCACGAACAGTTAATTTCTTCACGACATCGGTATTCGCGGACCACTCTCACATCTCGTAGATTAAGGTTAAGTCTGGTTGTGAACTCAGGGTACGTGTATCTAAGTAGCGATGATGTTTTTCTGATTGGTTTGTGGACTGTACACTGACAGGTTATCCAGACCAAAATAGCTAGTGCTCACAGTCAAACCAACCACTAACCAAATCTTGACTGGCCAGACAATGAGGCGATGTGTGGAAGCCGCAGTTCATTGCAAGCCGTTTTTTCGCCCAGATGTATATGACGCCTGTTAGACACAGTTCCTACGTTAAATATCAAATACAACTAGCGGCTAAGCCTTTTCACTGTCATGAAAACATACCTGCGCCCCTTGAAAACACTTAGTCAGACGCTTCATGAAACGCATTCAGTGATGGGCTGGAGTTGCGATCAATCCAAGGGCTGTCATATAACACACAAATGGGGAATCAGGTCGGTGGGATTCGATCACACGTCCTCCGGGGTGACGTTACCACCGGGCCACCTCCACCCGGTTACCGAAACTAATTGGAACTTTTTTATGAGGCGTTATTTTGTCTACAAAATAATTTGTTAGAATGCATTTTTTCGTGTTCCTTAAACAATTTGGAGATTCCCACCCAACCCCCATTTTTGCTATGTAATCTAACTAAGAATTAATAAAATTATCCTCTATTTGCTATGAATTAATCCAACAAAATTATTTTGCTTTCTAACGCACTCACACTTGTCTTATTCACTCAAACATGTCGTTTAATAGGTTTCGCGCGGTGCCTAATAGAAACCAAATTTGTAACCTGTCTGTAGCCAGTCAGTTTCACTTTATTTTCCAACTAATAATCATACACTTTCATGTGCCAGTTCTGGTCCCTGTCCTCTGGCTTCCCGTTCAGATAAAGCTTCTTGTTACTGCTCTCTCGCTCTCAACGAGAAAAACACGCCCACACTGTCGGAGGTTGCTGGTTTACAGTTTAAATTTAACACAGCGCACTCGCTATGACTAACTGTTTGCTATTCACGAATCACTCACCCCATCCCGAATAAGATTAATAAACTCTTTTGGTTCGCAAAAATACAAAGTTCATTCTAACGTTGTCTGAATGCGGATATCGAGTTGTGTTTGTGTGTACAGGACTGTCATTTCTCGCTTTTCCCTGTGTCCTTACCCGGATAAACAAGGTATGAAGTAGCCGCTAAAT